GTTTAAGCCAATGAAAACACATCAATATTATTACAATCAGGCAGAGAAAAGGTTTGCAAAAAGTAAATCGATAATCTTTATGTAGCAAACAAACTTTGAATTGCAAGAATTTTTTCATATCTTTTCGGCAGGTTAAACTGTCCGAGGAGGGCCAGGCATTTTCGTATCGTAAAAGGCTGCCATTTACAGTATAGTGATTATCCCAAGCACCACCGCGATTTAGCGCGGGAATTATAAATATAGCTAACCTCGGCGCATCGCATAGGATAGAAACTACCTTTTTTCATATTTTATTGTAATAGATATTTACAAACTGTGTCTTTCGGGTTTTTTTTTATCAATATATAACCAATAATGATGTTAATATGAATAAATAATCATATCTCAAATCTGCGACTATGACTTACAATGAAACTCTACCTTTAGTGTATTAAAAAGGTTTATAATTTCCTGTAATTTTATTCTGTGATTATGCTTCAAAAGAGTCAATTGACCGTTAATTTTCTTTTCATATTTTTTTCCTTGAAATCATTTTTCTCATCTGAAGGCATGCAACTTTAATATGATGATACATTAATTACATTCCATGGAAATGTTTAAAGATATAAAATATCTCATGACATGTTTGTACATTTTACATTACACCTATAATGCAGCAAGCATAAAAAGTCTTCTTAACAAGAGCTGTCCGTAAGACAGCGCGCTCGACTTTTTTAGTGCTTGCCTATAATACAAAACATTGACAGTTAAGGGCCATAATTCAAATAAAATCTTTGACAGAATTACCTTCTCCTGGACATGTTTGGGAATCATGATTGTAAACAAGTATTCCAACTTTCAAATTAATATCTCAAACAGTTCAGTCAAAAAGTGGACTGGTACTAAAAACTTAACCAAGATTCTAAGTCGATAAAAGGCCTTAATTTTTAAAACAAATCCTTGACAGAGTTACCTTCTCTTGCGTACAGATGGGGGTAATGATGTGAAATAGCATTAAAAGTTTCAAAGCAATATCTCAAAGGGTTAAGGCAATAAGTGGATTTTACCCATATTCAATGTATTTTCTAAGTCAAAAAGGGGCATAATTCTGTCAAAAACCTTGACAGAGTTATGTCCTCTTGTCTGTTGATGAAGGTCGTGATGGTAAACAAGTATGGTCAGTTTCAAAGCAATACCTCCAATGGTTTTGAAATAAAGTGAGGTGGTACAAAAAACTTAACCAAGCTCAATACACTTTCTAAGTCAAAAAAGGGCCATAATTCTGTCAAAAACCTTGACAGAGTTATGTACTCTTGTCTGTAGATGGAGGTTATGATGGTGAACAAGTATGGTAAGTTTCAAAGCCATACTTGTAATACTTCTGAAATAAAGTGGGGTGGTACGAAAAACTTAACCAAGGTGTGACGCCAACGCCGACGCCGACGCCGACGCCGACGCCGGGGCGAGTAGGATAGCTCCCCTTTTCATAGAAAAGTCGAGCTAAAAAGTAGTATGCAATCGTACCTATATTACATACGAAAGTATGTAATATTTTTCTTGTTTAACTTAGAATTTACATTAAGGTTTGCATACCACCTCAAATAGTTTTATATTCTATTGAAACAAGTTGAAATTGTATACTCTTCTTTGAGAGCATAATAGGACTCTCTCCGAGGCCTATAACTGTAACATGTATTAAAGAAAAAAAATTTCCATTCGTTATAAACACATAAAATTTTACATTTTCAAGGCTCTTTTACTATCAAGCATTAAGTATAGTCGAGCATTTGCCTTTATAGTATTTCTTTAAGACCGCCTTTAAATAGAGTAATAATTATGACCTTGACACCTAAATGACATTCATCGTCTTGGTCATTTTTACTTCGACATTTAAAAAAAAACAAAAACAAAAAAAAAAACAGAAGAGGTATTGTTATAGTCCTGGCGGCGTTGCCGTCTGCAAACTGGTACCTAGATCATAACTTTTTTAGTTCTTGGTGTATTGTCTTCATACTTGACCACACTAACTATTGGGACAAGACCTTTCAGAAGACTTACACTAACATTGAACTTCAGTCATAAATTACCTTGATCTTCAAGGTCATCTGTCCAAATTTTGCTTGTTCCTTGCTATTATTGGTTGTCTCTTTGTTATTTTTGAATCGATTGTCTTCAAACTTGAAAATAATAAATCTTCAAGGATAGCTCTTTTAAATAATCAGACAGACCTTGACCTTCACTTATAAAATGACCTTGACTTGAAGGTCAAATTATTGAATTTTTATTGATTTACATACATACATACATATTTTCTTCTGTAATACGCATGCGGATATATATGGGCAGGATTCATACAAACAAAATTATAAAAAGGAAACGTTAAGATTTGTTAAAACATTTATTTGTTTGCTTTCAGAAAAAAGTAAAAAGTCGAGAGTGGCCCCGCCCGGCGGTGGCTCTTGTTTTAATTTGTCCTAATGGTCCATAATTTTTATTTATAGATCGATTTGATTCATAAATCTGACCTTGACCTATGATTGACCCTGTTCACTCAGCTTGTCGTCATGTTTTGTTTTCCTATCGATATATATTTGTTGCGTAAGAAGCAGCCTTAAAGTTAGTATTCGAGCTGCCCAGTGGCCTAGCAAGGGGGATTCATATAGCCACAAAAAAGTTTAAAAAGAATAATGTTATGTATCAAAAATGCCTTTCTCAGACTAAGAAGAGATAACATGTTTATCGGTTTCAAAGGAAAACAAACTCACAAGCAGCCTAACGTTAACTGCTGGCAGTCTAAGTACTAAGAGGTGTTCTGTGTGTGCCGCCTAGGTGCTTCGGGTTGGCTGCAGGCGCTACAATATTGTTATGATGGAGCAACATGAGTGGGCTGTCTGCAGCTGTAAAAGTTCTAGTGGCTTTCGATGACATTGTTGCAAGACGCGTTTTTATTTTCCAAAAGGCGACCTACATAAATTCAATTTAAAACAAACATGTGACTTTTACCAACATTTGAACATTGACCAGTCTTTTCGTGGACAGTGTGTAAGACATGATTGCGTTCCTTTGGTAACTTACCTCCAGAAGTGGCATATAGTTTTTGACCGTGTCAATCCGTCAGTGCTATAAATCATAAATAAAAAACGTGTTTGCAACCAAGCACTTTCAAAGCACGGGGAAAGTTTGATAGTTCCAGGTGTCTAAAGGGTCGATATGCAACAGTGAAAGCATTCATCGTTAGGAATGATCTGTCTTTGTTTAGTAAAAACAATTTTGCAAATAATTTCGTTTTATTACGGTGACTTTATAAACAAAGCTGTGTATACTAAATACTAACTTAAAATGTTTTATTGTGGACATGCAGAAGTCGTTCCTACCATTTCCTGTTACGTGTCTTTTAATTTTTCCCATATAAAATTATGGGCCTTACAAACATAAAGAAATACCTTAGGATGTCATTATTAGATTTTCAGCTGAGCATTACGTTGGCTGGACAGGTTTGACAGATTAAGTGTTCACTTAAGCTCTGGTATACCTCTAGGTAAAATCTACAAGACTAAGATTGCTTTGAACTGCTTATAAACTATAATCTTTATTTGATTGACTTATGTATTAATAAAAAGTAAGTTTCGTATGTCAAGAGAAACAAAATGGGTTATTCATCACATTAAAAGATAAACTCTAGTCTGTAACATATTATCACCATAAAAAGTTTGAAAAACAATACTTTTCCGTTTTTTATTTAATACCTCTACAAATGTGACAAATGACATTAGATATGTTTCGATATTCTTAATCTATCGGATACCTTACACGCTATCAGATATATGTACATAAATGAAATAATTTTAGGGAAATTAACACATTTCGATTCCATATCATTTTAACAATTATCAAACATACATGTATTTGCATGTGCATAATACAGACATAATAAGAAAAAACTCCACGTGGCCTATTTACTACCGCTGTCATATACCCCGTGAAATGTTTTCCTTATCACTAAAAATCTAATTCTGTAGTAATCGACTATGAGGCGATGATAATATGTTTTGATAAACATCGCTTGCTTGTTCTGCAGTGTTCAGTTGTTGACAGAAATGTGCATTTAACCCTATCCAAATTTCACTCAACTGCACCATTTCGCTGCAACAACCATGGATAGGTGGTTCCTCGGTATACACCCGCACCAGATTCTCCAATTCTTCTTCAGAACAATTTATTGCAAACGAACAATCTGTATAACCGAACATCCTTGGCTGATAATACATCATTGTTGGGTTTACCTGTTACAGTCTCGCAATAAGTTTGTGCCCGAATCGTATGTAATATTCCAGGATTTCTTAAAACTGTCAAGATGAATTTGAATGAGAGGCATAAAACAAAGTCTGAGGCATTCGATTTTGCAACTGATCGGTATTATCAAATAGGTTTTGATCAATCAAATCTTTAAAGAAGTTCCTCCAATAACAAATAAAGTTTCTCGAGAGGAAACTCCAAAGCATTTCAATTCTTTGATTTGCAGTTGATCTCCCAACAGAAACAGAATTGTAGCCTGACATGCTTATCAGTATGTGACATTCTAAGTGCGATCTGAAGGTTCTCTAATGTACAGTTTTCAGTCCCTGCAACAACCCTTACCATTCTTGGTACATGATCACGTTTCGTTACATGTTGTATGAAATAAAATGCAATAAAAGCAGGTTTTTTATTTGATGGTGCAGCTTTCAACCATAGAATTTAATTTTTCGGGAAAATCCATCTATAGCTCCGTGAATTGATATTCCAAATGGTTTTAGATTGTCATATCCGTCGAAATGAATTACGAAGTTTGGGCCTCGATTGAAATATTTTCTACGTCTTAATCGTCTTGCTTTCCTGTTGACTACTTCTCCACAAGGGTCTAACGCCTTAAGACAAATCCTCACTGTATTTTGATGTGCTCTGATTCCATATCTCAAAAAAATGCATTTCCATGCTGCTCTGTAAACCTAGTTCGGAATACCCCTCTCGATGTAGCTGTACTATTCCCCGAGTAATATCCTCTGGGTTGCTTTCTTCACGTCTCGTAAGTTTAAACGTCGAAGAATTCTTTCTGTTTTAGTTTTGGAAACTACAATATGGTGAACAAACATTCCAACCATTTCCGAATGCGTATAACCAAGATTGAAGTATTTTTGGACAGTATTGTGTAGGCTCTGCTCATCTGGTAGCATACCATAAGACAACTTGATATGAATTGCCACAGAGAAGTATCTGAAAGTAATCAAAAAGCAATGTAAATTATTAGATTTTTTCACTGAATACAAACACATTCAATAGCAACATGCCTCCAGGTTCTTGCTTATTTTTATGAAATTTTAAAAATGTATTTAAATGTCAAGTACATTGTATTGTAAAATGAACAAAGAAAGTAATTATACATTGCAAACGGCATGTACGAGTACAATCCACGTTAATAATCAAAAAGAGGTCAAAATATACATAAAAATCTCTTACTGCGTTAGTAACGCAGAACTAGTGATTGATACTTCAAAAGCAGTCATTAATCGCTCAAAACATGTAAATAATTACTTTACTATTGAATCTTCTTACTTTTAAAGATCTTAATAAATTTTCCAAAGATTCAATTTCTTGAAATATTTTGGCTCATGTGGAGGCGTGTCTCAGTACTTTTGCAAAGAACATTTTCTATTTCTATTAAATTATGTAAAATAAAAGATAACGACAACGACGACGCATAAGACTAAGACAACTATTAATATAAATACTACTTCTACTACATAACTACTACTTACTTACTACTTACTTACTACTTTAGCTACTTTTATCACATGTATTTCTACTTATTATTACCTACTTCAGCTACTACTGCTACTGCTACTTATACTACTTCTACTTCTTAGGCAATTACTACTACTGCTGCTACTGATAGTACTTCTACTACTGCTGCTCCTCCTCCTACTACTACTGCTGCTGCTGTTTCTGCTGCTAGCAATACTAGGACCAATACTACTGCATGGTTGAATGGCGCTTTTTCAATAATCGGGATATTTTAGAGGGTTTAAAATAACAACAAAAACAATCGACTCTTTCAAACAACTATGTAAATAATAATACACATCTATATGAACTTTCTTAAACACAACTTTTTAAACCGTTTGGAACATCGAATGCGAAGTGTTTTTGAACCATAAAAATATTTCCTCAAAACAATGTTCGTTATCAATGTCGGAGTAACAGGAAGTATTCGAAAAGATTTGCTTATCATGGAACTGGATGTAATAAAGTTTAGTAATCAGTTATTACTCAATTTCATTATGTCATTCCCTCGAAAAACTCCCCTTTACTAGAAATGCATGATTTTAGTCCGGAATGCGTCACGGTACGCTGATTTGGGTATACTAGTAGGGAAGATCCAAGATTAGTGTCTGTCTTGTATCATATAGAACTATTTCCAGCGATTTTTATTAGTTTTTTTTATTTCTATTAATTTCGGAAGAACAAAAAGTCGCAAGGGGCAAGGTTTGGTGAATAAGTAGTGTGCAATAAAAATGTTACCTTTCATCTGTATAATGGCAGATAATGAGCTTGGGCATTGTGTAGAAGTATATTTTTTGAAACCGGTTCATTGCGGACGTGTTTTAAAAGTATTTTTTCATTTCTTCAATAGTGCACTTTTATTGTACTTTCTAGTAAATTGCAACATGTTCACAAGTTAGAGAAGAAAATTGCATATAAAACTTTTTCACTTAAAAAGCGTTTTAGCAATAACATGCATCTTGGTAGCTTTGCAGCCAATATTGTATTTACAATTTTTCGTATGGTTCAAATAAATGCACCCAAATTTCATTCATATTATTACATTTGCAAATTTCTTTTATCATATTTTGGTAAACTGTTCCAAGCATATTATTATGTAAAATAGATAAATACAGAATCCCTAAAGAAAGCCCAACACGGCAAAATTGAAAATGTTGCAGGCTCGGTTTCATTGAGCCTGTTCATGGACGGTACTGGAAAGTGCAAGTTACCGTACACGCCCCCCCCCCCCCAGCACCGGCTTAAGCAGAATTCAACATTTAAACGTGAAATTGTTAAATTGTGAATTTAGAAACATCCGCAGATGTGTTCATACGGCGGTTATCATGGAACCTTCAATGTGACACTTATGTAAAACAAATTATCATAATTTGTTGATTTTGTTTTCAAAGTCACTGTGACCTTGACCATAACCCGACATAATCCATTGTATAAAATGATCTACATGTACCTTACATTGAGATTCACTTTCTGACAAAGTTTAGTCAAAATCAAAGCAAAAATGAAAACGCTAGAGCTTTAACGCCAACTTTTTTACGGACGATGGATGACGGAAAAATGACCACAAAAGCTCATGATGTTACGTGGCAGGTGAGCTAACACATTATGAAATTTGACCTTGATATCGGTATGACCTTGAAAATTTAACATATTAGTGATGATATTACATAACTTTTTTTTATTGAATTTTGTATTATTTTCAATACTTAACTCAATAAACACGTTTGGCAAATTCCATATGGAATTTCTTTAATATCACATTGCACTGGCAATTAAATTCTTTACAATGAAACAGAGATATGCTTTGTTAAGTACTTCATTGGGTTGCTGTTACCAGTCGCAATACAACTAGTTATATTAAGTTCTTTGATTTTACTTTTAATAATATCATATATATTGATAATTATGCATCCTTTTTTTCTGAAGTAAATACTAAGGTTAATTAAGATTCCTAAAAATGCTGTGTTTGGTAAGTGTTTATCCTGTTATTGCATGCTTACAATCATTTTAAACCATTTTTAGGGAGGGGGCCCACATAAATTTTAAGGTAATTTAAAAATACTGTTAAATCTGGATGAATAAATAAATTGGAGTAATATAGTTATTTTGTCGTTTTAGCATTTTTTATGCCCCCGAAGGTTGGCATATAGTAATCGCACTGTCCCTCTGCCCGCTCTTCCAAACGTTTGTCCGATAATCATGTCCGCGCTTTATGGGGCGATTTCAGTGAAACTTCACAGGATTGTTTGTCACGAAGTCTAGTTGTGCATACTTTATTGATTTTCCTCTTGAATCTTTTTTTTTGCACAGATATGGCCCCTTCCTGATCATTTTTCGAGTAAAATAAGCTTGTCTGTAATTCATGAAGAAAATTGATTGGTGATTCCAGTGACACTTCACAGGAATGTTTGTCGCTATGCCTAATTGTGCATATAATCTAGATTTTCAGCTTAATTCTTTTATGGGACAGTGATAGCCCCTTAACGGTCATTTGTCGAGTGAAATAAGCTTGTCTGCGCTTCATCAAATAAACTGATGGGTAATTTTAGTGAAACTTCACAGGATTGTTTGTCACTATGCCTAGTTGTGCATAGTATCTTGATTTCCGCTTGAATCTATTTTGGGACAGTTATAGCCCCTTAATGTTCATTTTTTTGAGTAAAATAAGCTTGTCCGCGCTTCATCACCAAAAACAGAGGGGGGGGGGGGGTTATTCACAGAATTGTTTGCCACCAAGCCTAGGTTGTGAATAGTTCCTGATTTCAGTAAATTAACTTTGCCACTTGGAAAAATGTATATAACCAGTATTTTGGCATATATTGAGGATTTTATGCCAGAGCTTCCTATCGGGGCAGCTCCTGTTTAAGAATTTGTTTCCGTGGATTAAAATGCAAAATGAGGTAGGGAATGGCAACCGTAAATCACTCACTATGAAATAAGCTATCATGAAAAGCCAAATGAGTGAGAATCTAACAAAGGGTGTAATACGACATGTACCTACTTAGACTGATACTTGCTGGGGGCTGCTACAACCACCGCCGCCAGCACCGCCACTTCTACAACTCCTATTACAACTAATTGTAATACTACTAATAATGATGATGATAAAAATTATTATTACATACCAATACTGTTAAAACTTTCTCCATGACTTCGACAAATACGCTGCGTGCTATCACAATTTTATTAAAACTTATTTAACGAAATAATAAGCATCGTATGCAAAACGGAAGACGATCTCGACAAAATTTATAACGAAAACCGGAATACACTTTAGGCATTGCGCAAACTTTTTTCATCAAATGAAATTTATTATGGTAATGCATCAAAAGTTAATGCGAGAAGGTGAAATGAATTAGGTATTGCGTCCATAATCTTTTCCGAGAAAGTGAAATGCATCATGTATTGCCTCTATATTTTTTTTCGAAAAACACCTTTTATTAATTTTTCGTCAAAATATTAATCGTTATGTGTAATGTTTCTGTTTTTGCAAGAAAACATTTGGCAAATTAACTCAAATCTTCTCGTTTATTCGAATTATTTTTTGCGAAAACACTAAAGATATCATGACTTTGCACCTTAATTCTTTCGACTTGCGTAAATCTTCTCATAAAAGATCGCGTAAGAGGTGACCCTTTGAAGCTTCCGTAGTCGGTATCATTATTGCCTTTTTGTCTTGTCGCTAACGACAACACGACAAAGCGCCAAACAGCGCATTGTCGCGCTCTCGTCTTGTCGTCCTGCCTCTAGTGAAGCACGCCAAACGGCGCGTGGACATTTGGCGTGATGACGTCCTGTCGCTTGGCTTGTAAGCAAATCCTTCGATTTGAACCGAGCGACAATGTGACATTGCGACAACACGCCGCATGACAACGCACCGTTTGGCGTACATCGTTAGCGACATGACGACAAGACGAAAGCCCGACAATGCGCCGTTTGGCGCTTTGTCGTGTTAGCGCTAGGGTGTTAACGCACAAAAGAATTCCAAATCAGCCATTATAGTAAGAAGATACTTTTAAATAACCGTTACTTAAATCCTCTTGCGAATCGAAATATAACAATTTTCGCGATTAAACTTAATTTTCGCATGTTTTATTCGAGAACTGTAACTTATTTACAGTACCAGTGACTATAGAGAAAGTCCACGAAAAAAAAGAGTTAAATCTCGCTTCTTATCTATTAAGAAGACCCAGTGCGCTGCTTGATAGTAAAACAAAAGCCTTAAGATTTTTCAATAAGGGCGATAGTTCTGTCAAAATTCACAATTACAATACTGCAATAGCTCTCCCATTTTTTTCGAATAGTTGAGCTAAATCAAGAGATTAAGTCAATCTTAACAGGCGATATTTTAACTTTCTCAAACAGGACACTATAGAAACCGATGGAAAGTAGTGTGCATCTCATGAGAAAGTCCAGTTTATCGTGAAATTGGATGGCCATTTCCAGGAACAAAGTAACTGTTGAAATTTTTAGCATTGGACGAAACTAAACAGTTGTTCGCTTGGAAGAATGGTACACCACATAGTTGTTTTTTATAATCGTCTGACATTTTTTTAAAAAAAAACATTAAAAGGACGTCCACTGAGTTTAAAGCCTAAAATCATAACATTTGAATTTCTTACATAATGAGCTTGGGGACTTAGACAGAAATATATGCAAATATAGTTAAGAAATATGCTTTGAAATAATTGAAAATTGTATTTATATGCTTTTCTTAGTCCGATTTGAGTGAAAAGCGTTTAAACGCTTTTCATTTTGTGACATTTATTTACAATGTGAATAGTTCTTCTGGAAAAACGAAGTGCGCGAATGATCTGAAATTTTTTGCACAAAGATTAGAGGTCTAAACCTACAAACAAATGGTACATTTACATGGAAAAAAAAATTCAGTCCGATCATATAAAAAAAAACCTCAGTGGAGTCCCTTTAAGTGAATTTACAATGTACCGTAACCCACCGCCCCACACACATAAAAAACAACTGCCAATAAACGGCGAGCATTGCGTTAGCGTTAAGGTAATCATGTGAATAAGGAAACTTACTAAATTTGGGGTCCAAAACGTAATCCATATAACATTGACGCAAAACAAGTTAGAGACGATTACATACTATTAATCGATTTTAGTAAATGTGACATTCTGTTAATTGACTGGCAGCCATTTTTAACATTGTTTTAACATGAAATGAAAGTGAATTATGTCCGATTTACTAAGTGCACGAAAGTCCGTGCGAATTATAAATTTACCTACACATTTCACTGCCAAAGCCTTAAAGGCCATGCAAATAGTTTCTATAGCTTAATATTTCAACGTGAACATACATAGATCTATTTATAATCAAATGTGTTTTCTATTTCATTGTATTTATAATTAAATGAGTTATTAATTTATCGGTTCTTACAATTTAATGTCGTATAAAATCCAGATACAGTTACTCATATTTTTCTTCAATTGTCTTCTTATGTCTGTAAGAAGACACTTTGAAGGAAAACTCGTACTGTATCCATTACATATATGTGTCGGCATGCTTGAATTTTTCCTTGTAGTTCCAGTTATTGATAGACTTTTATAAAACTTATAAATAGGCTTTAAGCACAACGCTCATTAAACATGGGATGGCCTCTGGCGGGTTCGAGCTCACGCATTGACAAGCGATGCCAGAATTCCAAGTCCGACGTTTCAGTCCTAAAAGTCACGGGTTCGATTCACTCACTCTTCAAAATGTATTTACTCAAATTCTTTTACTTAAACAATATTTTATTTATAAATATTTCATTTCATGATAACTGACAAATATTAAAAATTTGCACGGACCTTGAGGAGAAAGCTTGAAATCTTGTTTTTTAGAAACTCTCACCGTAAGCACTATCTCAAAGAATATGTATGAAATGGTGACAATTAAATATCTATATTTGTGGTAAATATACATAACATTTTCACTAAAAACTTGCTTCTTTACATGTACAAAAAATGTCTAGCAATTTTGCACTCTGGTTGTGTTAATCGAACCGATCTTAATAATAAAGTATCGACTCGAATTCTTTTGAATATGACCCGGGTCCCACGTGTTTTTAGTTTTATAATATTTTATTGCATATTTTGTACATGATTAATTTACACAATCTAACATCAATATCTTAAGCATATTAAAATATAATGTACATACCAAAAGGGTTGGACCAAAAGTTATACCAACATTATCTAGGGTCCTTCCCTGAAGGTCTATCTTGTTGGCTTAATGTAATATAGTAAGTTAATGTGGTTTTAGAAATTTGAGATATTTATTTTATATGATAAGCGATATTAATTTCATGTATTTGGTAAAAAAATCGCTTAACCTAAAAAAAACAAACAAAGTAAATTACAAAATGACTTAAAAAAATGTATGCCATTAACAATTTGCCACTATAATAAACGCACGTGTTTGCGCCGGGCACACAAAAAAAAAACAGGTTTTGCTTCTACTGGTTCAAAAATAATAAATATACATCTACAGGCCTCGCCCAGATGGCAACAATAAATAATACAAATAAGATTTTTTTCACCATTAGGTTAATCATCATGATGCGGTGCAAGTCTAGCGCTAATGTATACGGCGCCACAATTTTTCGGTGGGGACCCATGATACGGTACCAAGAACTCGGTCAGTTGTCACACTTTTATGACTTTTTTTAAGAACTAAACAGCTTAAATGTTGGCAAGAGTCTGTGTATATATATCTTTGACGCTATCAGTTATATTTAATAAATACTTTTGAGTGACAACATAATTATCGATCTTTTAGAAAGTTTTTCAAATGCTCATTTTTCCCAAGCCAGCTCTAGCTGTTTTCATTAAAAACAAGAAATCGTAAAAGTCTTTGATAAAAACTAGCTAAAGACATAAGCTTCAAATGATCATAATATTCGCGTAGACACACTTTATGAATACACTTAGCACTTTAAAAATGTGACTTTCAGGCCGTTTTCCATCAATGCTGTTTATGTTTACGTGTTTATTTTTCTAAAATGATACGTGCTGCGCGCAGGATGATAAATTTTCGACGGTAGCGGAAAAATGATGCGTATACCTTGACACCGTGACACAGGCTGGGGCGACAACAAGGGTGTTTCATCCGAGATGTCGCCCCAGCCAGTGTTATACCCCCGCTAACTAACGAGTTTCAATATATATAACTGTTTTTATCGGGCAATGGCATAATGTTTTTCTTTTTTGTATAGAAAACAATAAATAAATTAATCGTTAGCCTACATTAAAGTTATTTATCATAAGGCAGTTTTTCAAGTTGTTTTCGCTGCTGCAAAAAAAATATACAAAAGACTTCCAATATAAGAGGCGGATTTTATACTGTTACCTAGATTGATTTAAGATTAAAGGGCTTTTTTCATTTCATTAATTATCTTTGTTTATATTTTTCATTGTATTTATATATTTATTTTATTTTATTTTATTGATTTCATTTTTTATTATCTTATGGGTTTTTTTGCCACTGGGAATGGTCGTTACCATTGCCCCATTGGAGCCTCTATGAAGAAAAAAAACTGTATTGATAAACAAGGTGCGAAAAAAACTCAACCGATATATAATATAGTCGAGTTTTTTTCCTACATGAATCAATGAAAAAACTATACTGTTATGTATAGGATAGATCATGAGTACCAGTTGGATGTGAGGTTTATCAACGAGCGAAGCGAGTTGATCAAATCTCACATCCAACTGGTACGAGCGATCTATCTGACTTAGACCACAGGTAAGTTTTTGTTTAAGGTGAAGATTATTACATGCTTAAACGGTTTTTCTCCGAGCATTACATAGGTATATCCAAATATTTCTTACTCAATATATTTGGCCTTATTGTAGGGGCCAAAAATGCACGAGAAAATGGCATAATTCATGTTCTTCATAAGTTACTGAATACACAATCTATTGAAATGATAGATAGATTTCACATTCTTTCGCAAAGGTGCAGTCAGAAGAAAATTGGAAGAATTTTTAACTTTTCGAAACTTGGGATATTTTTTTTTGTTTATTTTCCTGTTGATTCCTCGTTTAAAATGATTTAATGACATAACACCGTCACACAGCGCTTGGAAGCAAGACTGTTTACCGAAATATACTCTAAGACAGAAATATGGGCGATGCTACTTATCAAAGAGTGGCTCGTTGGAGGTAACGGGCAGGTAACTTTCATTAAACGTTTTTCCTTTTAATGCTTTAACAACAATAGGTTCAAGGATATTTCTTGTTGTTTGGTGAAGTTGAAAATATTTTACTTGACGTATAGATTCGTTTTTTTTATTGTATGCTTTATATACACCCTGCATTGAATTTTTTACTTCATTCATGAACTGAAAAAATATTACCAAACGTCCTCTGAAGCAATAAAGCATAGAATTTCCTAGCGTTGCAACCTTCGCAGCCAAGTCACCGTTCGGAAACTCCACCCCCTTCCCACACCAGTGGAATCCCTCTTCCCAAACCAAGTAAAATGAATGTACAGTCTACAGTGTCTGCTATTAAGAGTGAGCCGGGCAGGATGCGATTATTGAAACCTTAGTGCCTGAAATATTAGCACAAAGCCGTCGTAAACATTTAATACATATATAAATTTTAAGTAGATAGAATCAACGCATTTTCCATCATTATTGCTATTTTTTCTATTTAACAAATACAGTAACTATAGCTGGGTCGAGAGATAACTCCGACACTAAATCACATATTTTTGCAATATTTTAATTATCTTCCCAGTATATTTAAATATTGAACCACCTAAACAAAGTTCAGTTCAAAACTTTTACATTACACCACCAAAAACTATGTATGAAAAATGGAATCTGGTACTTCTTTAAGGTCCTTGAAAGGTATACAAAACATGGTGCTTTTAACCCCACAACAGATGATAAAGTCGACACTTAAAAATTTTCAGTACCAAATGACTGGAAAATCAGCATTCAATAATTTATTTTTACATCTTATATGGTTTATCTATTTTTTGTAAAATATTTAAACAATTTTTCAAAAATCTTTCCCAAGTCAGTGGCCTGTGGTCAATACATTTCTAAGCTTACCTTACTTAATTTTTAGTAAAAAGAACGTTTTGAAGCAGTTTTTGCCTACAAAAAGTTTAGGTTATTTGAAAAAAAAAACAACAAAAAATATCGAATATAGTGCATACCGAATACGGTCAAAGTTTATAATAACTGTTATAAAAAACAAACCCAAATATTGAAATACTTATTTCCTGTGTGATGTGTTTACCTGTAAACAGATGTTTATTTTAATTGTTGGTTTATTTACTTACCCACGTGAAGTCCAAGAAAATTGACAACGCATGTGTACCTTCGAAATCTCTTTCAGTTTTGCCCGTCAAATTATGGTCCCAGTAAATCGCACATATTTGCAACAGAACTATAAATGAAAACAATTGTTATGAATGTACAGAGAAATAAAATCTTACAAAGTATTTTGTTATTCCTAAGTGAAATTTTTTTACCAATTCATACAATGTCTTAAGAATTTGGCTTCATTTTTATGCCCCCCCCCCCGCCATGTAATGGCCGGGGCATATAGTGTTACCCTGTGTCGTCATTCCGTCCTTCCATCCTTCCGTCCTTCCGTCCTTTCCGTCCTTCCGTCATTCTGTCATTCCGTCATCATCAGTTTCCGTTCATTATCTTAACAACGATTGCACACATTCAACTCAAATTTGAAACATATGGATATATCATGAAGAAAAATTACAGAGCTGCAAGTTCGAATTTGGTTCATGGTTCGATGATTTTTGGCAGATTTCCCCCTTTACTTGTGTGAAAATAATATAAATATCCAGTTTCGTTCATTATCTTCCCCCCAACGGTACAACACATTCAACTCAAACTTACATTGGGATATGCATTGAGAAAATACAGGCCAAGTTTTGAATTGGTCATTGGTTTGATGGATTTTGGCAGGAGTTATGCCCCTTTTACTTTGAAAATAATAATGAAATTTTCAGTTTCCCGTTCATTAATCTCCCCAAAGGTACAACAATTCAAACTCCAAAATTTGACATATGGGTAGGTTTTTTGGTTAATTGCCCAGCCAAAGTTTCGAATTGCGTCATGGTTCAATGATTTTTGGCAGACCAAAATGCCCCTTCACTTGTGAAGATAATATGAAATTTACAGTTTTGTCATTATCTACCCAACAGTGTACATTATTACAACTTAAATTGACATATAGTATGTCAAAGGATGAGCCAGGTCAAGTTGGAAATTTTCTGGTTGATGATTTTGGCCCAGAGTTTTGTCCCTCACTTTAAAAGTATCATAGATACATCTTAGAAATAAGCAGTTAAGTTTGAATTGGTTGGTTTAATATTTTGACAAACTTATCTTTCCTGAATGTTGGAAAAATTTTAACTTTCAGTTTACAGCACTCATACTTTTACCATATTTTGGTACAAATATGCAATAGCTATTTTTTTAAAAGGATAAGACTGAATAATTCAGTCCCTTGAAACAGTGTATTGAAAGTTTTGTTAACATGAAAAGTTTAAGGGCTTGAACTTAAATTGAAAAAAAAAAATAATGCACCATCTGAAATTTTGGCTGCATGCGGGTGCATCCGTGGCATGATGACACATTTCTAGTATCATATATATTTCACTATTTATGGGAAATAGCGTTTTTGCGGCCAGATATCCCAGTCGGTAGAACCCCGGTACGGTATTTCGAGGGTCCCAGGTTTGAGTCCCGGCCAGACTGCACATTGTTCTCACACTGTGACATATATGATAACAACTTTCCCACTATCGGCTTGTTAGTTACTTCATATAAAAGGGAGGTAACTTGAGACAAAATGTACGGACAGTTTGACACAGTGGTCGTTTCATTATACTGTGTCGCATCAGCAAGTAATTTACAATTAAACAGTCAAAGTGAAGTCAAGGTAAAGGCAATCTCTATATCTTACAGCTTGTAACAGACATGCTTATCCAGTGATGATTCTTGTCAATATTTCGACGTATTAATTCATTTAATAACAAGATCACTGCAAGTACTTCGCAAAATAGACTGAGGTACATAATTCCAACAAGGGTAGTAAATCCAGCAACTGAAAAACGAACATAATAATCATAATGATATAAAGTTATCAATTCAGTACAACAGTCATATAAATTACATAAAGTATTTAAAGCATTGTAATTAAGTGTTTATTATCAACAATTATGCCTATACATAAATGAACTATAACAATTAGAGAATTAAGTTTAAATCGTTTAATTTCCGATTTCTATCAAACCATTGATTACTTTTTAACTTTGGATAAATCTGCTGCCTTATTGTCTATAAATAAGGTTCCATTTAGTGTTCTTGCTAAACAAGAGTTTATTTTTAAAGAGAAATAAAAAAATTATACTGTAATGTAATTTATATTGTAACTATAAAATTTTTGACTCTTACTTTTCTTAAGAATACAAAATAAAATACTCATACTGGACTATTAGTTTTAAATGGGATGTCCGTGGCCGAGTGGTTAAACCGCTTGCCCCCTCACCGCTGTGAGATTTAATCCTGATTTAGATTCTTTCATGAGAGGAAGCAACTCAGCTAGCTTACGGAACGTTTGAGGTCCTACGCAGGTGCCTGAAATATTGCACGGAAAGGCACCTGACGTCTTTTTTCACCAGTAAAGCTGGAAAATCGACATATGACTTTTACTGTGTTTGGTACATAAAAGAAAGAAAGAAAATTTTCATATTTACTTTTACAATAGCACCAACCTGTTAAAATCTAAATATATGATGTAACCTAAATAGAGAAAAGGACTTACTCAAAGAACAAGAATGTTCCTTCAAAATTATTCCAGTTAATAATTTAGCAATATTTAGAAAATAACAAGTCCATCTCCAACAACCGTCCACGCACATTTTCATTTCTTATGTCACGGGATCATTTCTGGAGCAATAGTTGTATTTTAAAAGGAGCTTAACAAACGCTTAAAAAATTCAAAATAATTTCAATCCGTTGTTGAATCACATCACATTTTACCTTCGTTTTGTCAACATGGACTTTGTACAAAGTGCTTGATTACATGTTTACAAAGTTTGGCCTGTGTCTACTTAGCTAACGATAAATGTGATTGAACAAATTTTTGAATATTTTGTATATATCAACAAGAATCATTATTTCAAAATAAGAATTATATATACAGCGAACATAAAAGCAATCGATTTTTTTTTGTTTTAAAAATAGTCAAGAAAGTATAAGTCCCCACTTCTTACAAAATCCACAACTCATCCGAACATTGAGTTCCATTGTCATTTGATACATAGATAATGAAACATTTTATAAACAATTTATTCATGTGATGACGATTTGTGTCTAGTGGTGTTCATACCTATTTATATGTACTCAATTAAAATGGACTTGTACATAAACTGGTAGGTCAAAATTGATATATAAAGATAATGAAGATAAAGTTGCGTACAACTCTATTTTAACAAGTCGAATAAAGACGAATAAAAACAAGAAAGAGCTACGATCCTCTGATTAAAAAAAAATAGAAATAGGCCCCTTCAACCCCCCAAACAGAACGGGGGCACATCTCCCTTCTGGCAACTCCCTGATGTATCTTTTGGATGGGGGCGGCGCCGAAAATGTGCTCAACATTTAGCAACATTTCTCAAACGAAAACATGTGTTGGGGGCCAAAGTGGACATTTTTTTACTATTTGAGACCTAAAAGGGGGGGGGGGGGTGGTCGAAAGTGCGTTGTTTCGAGTATGTTAATGTATTGGCACAATCATGATCTTCTAGCGTGATGCTTGGCTTTGTTATATCTAAGTAGTAGTTATCTCCCTTTTAATAATATACTCATTTGTTCTACAATTGAACATAGTTTGGAGCATTAGTTTCGAATTGGCCAGGGAGGAATTTACAAACAAAACACAAATCTGAAATTAAATTAGATATTTGAGCTTCTAAATATATATACATGCTATATTTCAAGATTCTGCAGTTAGAATCGTCTTTAAAATAATTGGGAAAATTATGGTTTTTATTTCCACAGTGTTCAGACTTATGCTGGAGGCATAAAAAATTGTTTTACGCATGCTCCGTTTCAAAATACGACTTATCTTAAACGAAAAATTAACATCGAAGTGAACAAATCGGTACAAAGAAAAAACGGAAAATATCATTTATATTACTTAGCGCTACGTTGATGTTTCATCATTCAAAAGTGGCATAGTGAAATGTCACAATCAAGTAAATGTCTGAATTATAGAATGTACAAAAGTGAATTCAGATTTGAAAAGTTTTTAGATATTTTACCATCTCATTTAGCTTTGGTACTATTGCGCTTTAGATGTATGAACCATAAAATGCCTATTGAGTCTGGTAGATTTTGTAATATACCAAGAGAATTAAGAGTGTGTAATTTATGCAATAATAGCTCACTTGGTGATGAATACCATTATTTATTTAATTGTCAATTCTTTAATACTGATAGAAAACAATATATTACTAGAGAGTATAGTACTAATGTTAATTCAATCAAGTTTTCTATGTTAATGAATAGCTCAGATAGGAGTATATTGTTAAAACTTGCAGTATTCTGTAAAAAAATTATTTCAGCATTTCAGTAACTGATCACTAAGCTAATTTTCATAATGTAACACTTTCATTTTTGATTTATATTTGCCATGTTATACATCAGTATATATTTCGTGGATATCTCTTTATGATATGTCATATTATATGTATATATTATTGTATATGTGACTGATGCCTCTAAGAGGCCCAGCATTTTCAATAAACTTCCGTATCAACCACTGACTTTTCTTGGCGATCAATGACTTCCATAGCACCTACTGACTCTCCATAGCGACCACGGACTTTCCCCAACAGCCGTAACCTAGCGTTAGCGACCGCCGGTTTTGCATAGCAACCAGTGAATTTGCATAGCGACCAGTGACTTCCGTATCAACCACTGACTTTTCTTGGCGATCAATGACTTCTATAGCACCTACTGACTCTCCATAGCGACCACGGACTTTCCCCAACAGCCGTAACCTCTTCATAGCGACCGCCGGCTTTGCATAGCTACCAGTGAATTTGCATAGCGATCAGTGACTTCCGTATCAACCACTGATTTTTCCTGGCGATCAATGACTTCCATAGCACCTACTGACTCTCCATAGCGACCACGGACTTTCCCCAACAGCCGTAACCTAGCGTTAGCGACCGCCGGTTTTGCATAGCAACCAGTGAATTTGCATAGCGACCAGTGACTTCCGTATCAACCACTGACTTTTCTTGGCGATCAATGACTTTCATAGCACCTACTGTCTCTCCATAGCGACCACAGACTTTCCCTTACAGCCGTTACCTATCGTTAGCGACCGCCTGTTTTGCATAGCAACCAGTGAATTTGCATAGCGACCAGTGACTTCCGTATCAACCACTGACTTTTCTTGGCGATCAATGACTTCTATAGCACCTACTGACTCTCCATAGCGACCACGGACTTTCCCCAACAGCCGTAACCTCTTCATAGCGACCGCCGGTTTTGCATAGCAACCAGTGAATTTGCATAGCGACCAGTGACTTCCGTATCAACCACTGATTTTTCCTGGCGATCAATGACTTCTATAGCACCTACTGACTCTCCATAGCGACCACGGACTTTCCCCAACAGCCGTAACCTAGCGTTAGCGACCGCCGGTTTTGCATAGCAACCAGTGAATTTGCATAGCGACCAGTGACTTCCGTATCAACCACTGACTTTTCTTGGCGATAAATGACTTCCATAGCACCTACTGACTCTCCATAGCGACCACGGACTTTCCCCAACAGCCGTTACCTCTTCATAGCGACCGCCGGCTTTGCATAGCTACCAGTGAATTCGCATAGCGACCAGTGACTTCCGTATCAACCACTGACTTTTCCTGGCGATCAATGACTTCCATAGCAGCTACTGACTCCCCATAGCGACCACGGACTTTCTTCAACAGCCGTAACCTTTCGTTAGCGACCGCCTGTTTTGCATAGCAACCAATGAATTTGCATAGCGACCAGTGACTTCCGTATAGCAGACGACATTAGTAAAATATATAGTTAAGATGAGTGGGAGGTAACTACCGAATTTTTCAACTTGTGGGGTCCTCATGACGTAGATAGGTTTGCAAGCTTCAAAAATTACAAATTAAATCGATTTAAAGCCGGTGCTCGGGGGCGTGAGGGATGCTGCACGTATTTATTATCCCTCATGTACACACTCAATCAAACCGAGTCTGCAATTCTCTTGTAATTTTGTTGTAATTAATGCTTCCGAGGGATCACTTTGTTTCCAGATTTTTTTAACTCTTTGTTTTATGAATATAAGTCTGAGGCAATCGATGCTTTTACACAGTCTTGGTCAGGCTGCAATAATTGGCTTGTGGCACATATATATCTTGTTTCTAGAACCATATTTCACCTTGTAGCATGTAAAGGGAAATGCACTCTGATAGTTTCGAAATGACCCAGTTCGTCATATTGGCCAATTTTGTTTAAAAACAATGGCGTCAGGAAGATATTCTAGAGTTTAAAGCAGGTCAAAATATTTTCATGAACATAATATTGCATCAACAGAAGATTTAATAGAAAAGATTTAGCGAATCGCGTAGAATAAGAAAACACAAGCCTTTGTTAGTTGTTAATCTATTTGTATGTTAAACTGAATAAATCTATTTTGAATTCAGATTTATTTTTGTAATTAATATATCAGAATAACAGCATCACATTTTTCACTCGTTTACTTATCATCTTGTCCCCCTCCATTAATGTTGGTTTAAATTCCATTCCTTTCTAAATTACATTTTATTTAGTTCCGCCCATTGTTTTCTCGTTTAGGGCACACGCATTCCTTTACTTGGGGACCATACGCCGCTTTTTATAGAATGACACTACTGTGTCACATTGAAGATTCCATGATAACCGCAGTATGGACACAAAATTCAAACTTTCACCATTTTATGTGTTTGAATGTTGAATTCTGCTTAAGCCGGTGCTAGAGGGCGTGGACTGAATGCTTAAATCTTTGTTTCATTTTAAACATAATTTAAAGATATTAAGCGACTCAAGTTGCAAATCTAATTTCGTGCTACCCGACTGAACAATTTTTACACACGACTGAGAATCAGAAAACCACTTTACTTTAGAATTTTCTAACAAACTTCCATAAGCTCGTAAAGCAAGATAAACTGCTCTTAATTCTTTAAAAGTAGAGAGACTGTTCTTCATTATTCCAAACGCTATTGAACTCACTGTTTTTGCAGTCAACGATATAAAATCAACATGACAGATGACTTGCATCAGAATATGCCAAAGTCTGTACCTGATTGTAAGCCGAAAATTTTCTGACATTTAATTTCTCTTTATTCAACCCATATATTTTACTTTAGTAAGGCAAGGATGATTTGATGGCAATTTAAAACAAAAGTCCTACGACTTCCTAGTCTCTATCTTTTTATACAAATACCTAGTCATCAGTCTTGTTATATTTCAAATAACAGGCATCATAGAAATGACTTTTCCTGTAAAATTCGCTTAATGTCTCGCCGATACATAAAGGAGAGAACCCAACAATATATTGAGAGTTATGTTAAAATAATTTAATCTTTTTTTTGGAATGGATAAATAAAATTTTTCACTGTTCCAGAAAATACCAATCCACTATAATTCTTGAACTTGGAATTATAATGACTTTTCTTTACTAATTAAAACACCTGCCATCTCAAAACTGTTCTTTACAAAATAAGAATCGACTTGAGTCTGTTCAAAAGTTTTGTTGCTACCCCAACCATCAACTAAAGTCATTACAATTTTTATTCCGTTCAATCTCCAGTATTTATCCATTTCCCTCAACACTTTTGTAAAAATGTAAGGGGCGCTACTGATGCCAAAAGTAAAACAGTAAAACAGTAGTTTTTCCCCTTTACTGAAAAACCTCAAAACGTTTGATGGCTTGGAAAAATGTCTAAATGATGGTAGCCCTTACTTAAATCGAACTTAAACATATACCCATCATGT